ATTGGCCATCGCGCGGGTGATTCGTTGGAAAAGTCCTTAAAGCCCAGAGCGGTGGCCATTTTCGTGGTGGGCTTTTTGGTTCTAGATGTCGCGCGAACAACATGCTCCAAGGCCCATGTCGTGCCCTCCTCGCCGACCTCTCCGCAAACAACCACAAAATGATGCGGACGGCTAACGGTTGGTTCTCTTTCTTCATGGCTGTCGGAAACGTCCTCGCCTACGCCGCCGGCTCCTACTCAAAACTCTACAAAATCCTCCCATTCACTAAACCAAAAGCCTGCGTCACCGACTGCACGAATCTCAAATCCTGCTTTGTAATCGACATTATCTTGCACGTCGGATTGCCCTGCAAAGCCCCGAGGTGGGTCTTCGGGGTAGACACTCCGATGCTTAAGTCAGCAATAATTGAAGCTATACCTTTAGAACGAAGAAGCAAGGAGCTTAGGGTTGGTTTCAATTACCTCTTTGGCATGGCCCTTAGGGGGTATTTATAGGTTTCAATGGAGAACCCACGTGGCACGCCAAGTAGGATATTCGGGATCTGATGTGTATCTCCAGATGGTTATTTCGGGATTGGGAATTTGAGAAATATTCAGATGCAAGGATGTCCATCGTAACTGCTGTGCAGCTCATCACAAAGGATCAGGTGTGGGCATTCCTACCGTTGCTGTCATGCAGCTACTTGAGCGAAAATCTTCGGATTTATCCTTCACTTCGGTCATAAAGGAATTATTGTCATACGTCCAAGGTTGGGCACCTCGAACCTATCCTTACACTATTCCCCCCCGAAGTCATTCACTTGTGAATGATGTTGTTAGAGGTAATGGGAGCAGTGCGTAAATAGAAATGAGAGGAGATACAAGTATAAAAGATGAGTTACAGAAGTAAAAATGGAAATAAAAATGAAAATGTGTAACGCAAAGGTATGTATAGCTAGAGCTAATAGTGAAATATGTGATAGGGGGTCATGTTGGCCATGCCCAAAAATCAAGTGTAACCGAATTGATCGTGGCCGTGGCCGTGGTAAAAGAGAGACCGGAGTCAATGTAAGGGAGTAATAACAAGTAATAAAAATTGATGGTCGGAATCATAGTGGCTGGAACCAAAGTAAAATATGTGACACGGGGTCACTGTGGCCGGAGCCGAAGTAAAGCGTGTGACACTGGGTCGCTATGGCCGAAGCCGGAGTAAAGCGTGTGACACTAGGTCACTGTGGCCGGAGCCGAAGTAAAACGTGTGACACTGGGTCACTGTGGCTGGAGCCGAAGTAAAACGTGTGACATTGGGTCATTATGGCCGGAGCCGGAGTAAAGCGTGTGACACTGGGTCACTGTGGCCGGAGCCGAGGTAAAATGTGTGACTGAAGACATCAGGTCGGTTGCCGAAGTAAAACACTTATGCAAAATTGAAAATGGATAAAAGTGAACAAGAGTGCTAAAATGGGCTTAAGTGGGCCCGTTTGAGAAGTCTGACAAAGAGGCGGTACGCAACGCGACAGCTGTCCTCTGAATGACGTGCATAATAAATGCCGTTGTAAAAAGATGACTGTAACAGTTCAACGGGTAGATGTAAAAAACGAACCGTCGAGTTTGAAACAATGCCGTTTGGGGTTAGCCGTTGAATTCGAAACGGTGTCTCTGCAACCGTTAGATGGAGTTAATCACAACCGTTGAGGTGTATTTTGCCTTTGGTATAAAAGGATAGACTTCTGTAAAAAGGGGTTTTTACTTTCACGATTTTGCTTCCAAATTCTAGCTAAATCTCTGCGGTTTCATGCGGTCTGTGCTTTCTTTGAGGCTTCAACAACAGTTTCCCAAGACCAAAATCAAGTAATGTTTATGAATGTTTGATTTTGGTTTTGTCGAAGTGCTATTCTTCTCTCTCCCTTTCTGTGTTTGATTTTGGGGCTTTTGAAGAAAGTTAGGGTTGAGAGTGAGAAGTTATTGTGTGTCTGATTCCCTTCCTCCTCCCACTTTGTGCAGAAATTGAGGAGATGTCTTCAAAAGATACCATGAGTGTAGTAGGGAGTGAGGTGATGCCACTGGAGTATGGTGGCATGGACTCGGAGAGCAGTCCAACTCCAACTAGTTCGGAGAGGACAATGGAGGAGAGGAGGGAGCAGAGGGTAGTAGAGGAGGATGAAGATGAGATCCCCTCAAACATTTTGGAGGCCGGGAGTAGGGTAGATGGGTGTTACGATTCAGAATTAGATATAGTATCTGAGGTGAGGGGGTATGTGAGTGAGTTAGGTAGCAGAGAGAGTCTAAGGAGCCTCATGGGTAACTGCAACCTCCCTCACCATGTCCTCATTAGGCCTGCTGGGGTGAATGAGAGGGCATGCTCAGCACCCCGAGACCATTGGATGCCCCTTTACGTCCATTATTTGATCGTAGGGCTTAGGTTTCCCATTCCAGAATTACTAGTTGGGTTACTATTAGATTATAGCATAGGAATAACCCAACTAACCCCAAATGCCATAAGGGTAGTAATAGGTTTTCTTGTCTACTGCCGAGTTCGTGGGGTGGGGTCCTTACCGTAAACATGTTCAAACACTTTTTCATAATAAAGGCTGGGGGTAAAGGGGAGAAGGGGTGGTATTACTTCGGTCCTCGGTCGTCCAGTAAAGAGAATAGGAGTTTATTCTCGGCTGGACCGTCATCCATCAAAAGATGGAAAGAAAAATTCTTCTTTGTGGATGACACCGAGTGGAGTATGAGGGATGCTGAGGTAGAACAATTGTCTGCTTGGAAAGCTAAGAAGACCAAGTAGAACAATTATAAACTGAATGAGGATGAAGTGGAGGAGGTTGGGAAACTGGTGGGGGAGGAGGGAGATGTAGTGGATATCCTCTACCTCACCAGCCCGAAGGCAATAGAGGCGGCAGAGCTCTATGGGCCAAGCTTGCTGAGCGAAGGTTTGCTTGTTTTTGCTTTTTGCAACTTACTGGAATTGTTAGTTATTGTATTTTAACACTTGTTGTTGCTCTGCAACTGAGATGGACGAATTTGTCAATGCTGTTGGAGGGCTGGCTATCCCCAAGAGGCCTGGGAAGAAGTCAAAGACTTCGAATGTGGCAAACAAAGGGGCAGCAGAGAAAGAGCGCCTGCCCAGCACTTCTGCTCGAGTGCTGGAGATACAGTAGAGGCTAGAGCCTGCAAGGGGGGATAGTGAGAAGGTGAGTGAGGAGGTAGCACCACTCCAAAGAAAGAAGAGGAAGGTGGCTGAACCAGAGGTGAGGGGGGATGAGGTGATTGAGTTCATGCCTCGCCCTTCTCCTTCTGAAATCGATCCTGAAATCAGAGAGAGGGAGGAGGGTGAGGTGCGAGGCCCTGGCAAGGGCAAGGGGCTCATTCCTCCTCACGTGTACTAGAAGAGTTTGTTTGAGGCGACAAACACGACTGGGGCGAAACACTTCCTCACCTTCACTCTTCCTGAGGTGGATAGAATGTGGGCGAGGGACGAGGCGGTGAGCCAGCTAGGGGCTACTGTTGTGAGGCATGCCCTGGAGGTATGTAAGGGGTTGTAGCCTATTCATACTTTATGTTTTGAGTTTTTAGCTTCTGCGTTTGAGGGCTAACTTCTGCTGGCATTGCAGAGTGCAAGCTGGATGAATGCTCTAGCGCAGGAGTACGCGGAAAGCGTGAGAGATCGCGCTAGCTTGCAGAGACGATGCGAGGCCCTACGGAAAAAGAAGGAGGAGCTACAGAAGGAGAAAGAGGAGCTACAAAAGAAAAACAAGCAGATGCAGAGGAGGCTGTATGAGGTGGTGCCAACAGTGATCGAGCTCCAGAGTGACAGAGAATCCTTGAGCACCAGGCTTGTCTTCAAAGAACGTAAAAGAAAGATCTATGAAGACAGGCTTGATGCCCAAGACAAATATATTGAGAAAATGAACCAAGGGATGGTGGAGCTGAAAAAGAACATGGAGCTGTTGGTTCACAACGGAATGGAGGAGCACATCGGCAACTTTCTTAATTCCAGCACCTTTGAAAACATCCTCAAGCTGTATCGACTACCGACCGCAATTGTGGCCTTCACCGACTGTAGAAAGAAGGTGAAGGCTCAGTACCCGGAGGTGGACGTGACAACGATCACTTTTGGGGAGCAAGAAGAAGGGGTGGAGGAGGATGGTGAGCGCCTCTGCGCTGACTTCTAACCTCTGATTAAGTTGAGGTGGGAGCGCGACGCAGAGGGGTGCACTGTCTTCCCTCCAGCCTTTGATGCGAAGCTGATGGCAGTGGAGGAAGAAGGAGAAGAAGAAGAGGAAGCGCTAGTTGTTGGAGTTGAAGATCAGGCAAACCTGGCAGAAGTGCAGCCTCCAGAAGTGCATCCAGTCTCCTCTGATGAAGTGCGGCAGCAAGCTCCTTCTGTAGCAGAAGTCCCTCCTCTACCTACTGGAGATGAGCCCAGATCACCACCTCTCCCTGCTGAGGAGCAGCCTCTTCCTCTAGCAGAATAATTTAAGATGATTTGTTTTATTTGTAAATAACATTTTTGTAGTTGATGGTTTTATTATTGTATAAAATTTTTCAAATTATCATTAGTGTTTAGTGTTGGTTTCAAATTGCTGTGTTATTTGAAGTGAATTACCTCAGACAAAAGAAAGCGACTTTAGTTGGCGCAAGGGTCTGACTTCGGATACACATGAGGCGGACCTCAAACATACAGATCAGAAAAGATAAAGTAAATTACTTCAAAAGTAAAATGTGACTTACTAAGAAAAATCCTATGCCAAAAAAAGGAAGTGACTAAAGAAGTTACAAACTTGAGAAATAAGTGAACTCTACTTCCAACACAAAAAGAACTGAATTAGTTCGAATGTGAAGTGAAATTCATAAATGAGATAAATGAATTGAGTTCGAATACACATTAGATTGAGCAGAAGGAAAGAGAGTAATAACGATTAAGATAGAGTTTACTTGAAAGAAGTATATTAAGGGTAAAACTTCTTCAAGTTATTGACGTTCCAGACTCTAGGAACCCTTTTACCTTTAGTGTCCCGCAGGATATAAGTATCGGGGTGCGGCACTTCGGCAACAGTGTAGGGGCCTTCCCAGTTTGGTGCTAACTTTCCAAATCGAGTTTCGAACCACGTTAGACCAGCTTTCCTGAGAACAAGGTCTCTTACTTTGAATGTTTGGGATCGAACTCGTTTGTTGTAGAAGTTTGCTATTTTCTACTTGTAAATTAGAGTTCGAAGTCGTGCTTATTCTCTGACTTCATCAAGCAGATCAAGGTTCTCCCAAAGCAGCTGTCCATTTCGTCCTTCATCGAAATGGGTTGCCCTGAAGCTTGGGACTCCTATCTCGAGAGGGATGACTGCTTCGGTACCAAAGGCCAGATGATAGGGCGTTTCACCTATTTTAGTTAATTATATCTTTAGAATGCGTTTTACGTGTTATGCATATTTGCTCTAGGGTAAAGCCGCAACAGAAGAAGTAAAATAATATGAAAACTAATCAAATAGACCATGTTTGAAGTAATACCTGTGGCAGTATGACTCGTAGTTCTGTATGCCCAAAGGATGTTGTTGAGCTCATCTGCCCATTTGGCCTTATGTTGTTCCAATCTTGGCTTTATACCTTCTAAAATGCACTTGTTAACAGATTCGACCATGCCATTGGACTCTGGATGATAGACCGAGGTGAACTGCAGTTTGATCCCGTAGCTGGAACAAAAATCGCGGAATGAGGAGCAATTGAACTGAGTTCCATTATCAGCCACAATCTGATTCGAGATTCTATATTTGCAAATAATCAAACTGAAAACAAAGTGTTTGACCTTCTTGGAGGTAAAACTGGATAATGCGCGAGCTTCAACCCATTTTGTGAAATAATCAACACCAACGATGAGATGGGTTACACCATCGACCCCTTTCACGAAAGGACCCAAGAGATCCAGCCCCCACTGGGCAAATGGCCATGGTGCTACCATGTTCGTAAGCTCTTCTACTGGTTGGTGAGTAAGATGGGCGAAGAACTGACACTTCGAGCATCTCTGAACAAAGTGGGTAGCATCCTTGTACATATTTGGCCAGTAATATCCTTGCCTTAAAACTTTGTGGGCGAGAGTTCTAGCACTAATGTAACTCCCACAGACGCCTTCATGTACCTCCCGCAATGCATACTCAGCTTCGTAGGGATTCAAGCACCGTAGAAGAGGAAGTGAGAAAGATCTCTTATAAAGGACATCATTAACAAGGGTGTACCGAGATGCTTTCTTCCTCAACTTCATCTCTTCCCGTTTATCTGCAGGTACTGTGCCATCTCACAGGAATGAGATAATTGGATCTGTCCAGCTCGGTGTGCTAGGATCGGTGCTGACCTCCATCATTTTGGGCTTTAAGAAGGTAGGCTCGTCTAGAATTTCAACAAAAACTGATCTTGAATTCAAAGAGCTATCCGAGGCAAGTTTAGAGAGTGAGTCAGCTTGTTCATTCTCAGTTCGGGGAATTTTGCTCAAACAGAATTTCTGAAATCTGCATTTCAACTCGGCTAGCTACCAGGGCTACATATTTCACCATCACCGGATCAACGACTTCACAAATTGAGTTGATTTGATTCACCACTAGCTGAGAATCACTGTATACTTGGATTGCACTGATTTTCAACTCCAATGCTAGTTGCAGACCAAGTAGCAGGGCTTTATACTCAGCCATGTTGTTTGTTGCATTGAAGTTGAATTTCAGAGCATGTTCACTTCGGTATCCATTGGGGCCAATCAAGAGAGCGCCAGCTCCGGAACCCTTGCTACTAGATGCTCCATCAACATATAAGGTCCAGTCATTGGGTTCTGAATTAGGGGTTGGATGGCCTGGAGTGCACTCTATAATAAAATCCGCCAGTGCTTGAGCTCGGATTGCAGATCTCTGCTGAAATGTTATTTCGAACTCTCCTAGTTCAACTGCCCATTTGATCAATCTTCCTGAGCATTCGGGCTTCTGCAAGATTTGTCTGAGGGGCTGATCCGTGAGAACTATGATCGGGTGTGATTGGATGTATGGCCGCAGTTTCCTGGCCGAAGTGACAACTGCTAAGGCTGCTTTCTCAGCAATAGGATATCTGACTTTAGCTCCATGTAACATACTGCTGATGTAGTAAACTGGTTTCTATTGCTTCCCCTCTTCCCTTACTAGCACAGAACTGATAGCTTCATCTGATATGCCGAGGTACAAATAAAGGATTTCTCCATCATCAGCCTTTGTCAACAAAGGAGGTGAGCTAAGATAAGATTTCAGCTCGTCAAAGGCAGCTTGACATTCTGAATTCCATACAAACTTCTTTTGTTTGCCAGATTCATCCTTCTGAGCTGCCAATCTCATGATCTTAAAGAACGGCAAGCATTTATCTGCTGATTTCGAGATGTATCTATGAAGAGCTGCTACTCTCCCCGTCAACCTTTGCACATCTTTCACTGACTTCGGTGGCTCCATCTCGGCTACCGCTTTGATCTTCTCAGGGTTGACCTCAATCCCCCTTCTAGATACTATGAAGCCTAGAAATTTTCTCAACTCAACACCGAAGATGCATTTTGCTGGGTTTAACCTCATTCTATTCTTCCTGAGATTGTTGAATGTCTCCTCGAGGTCAGCTAAGTGATCCTCAGCTTTCAAACTCTTCACCACTATGTCATCAACATAAACTTCTAGATTCCTACCTATTTGAGCTCGGAATACGATGGTAACTAGCTTCTGGTAAGTGGCACCCACGTTTTTCAAGCCGAAGGGCATCATCACGTAGCAATAGATTTCATCGCCGGCATAGAACGAGGTTTTCTCTTCGTCTTCTGGAGCCATTAACACTTGGTGATACCCTGAATATGCATCCAAGAGACTCAATCTCTCATTTCCAGAAGCTGCCTCAACCAGCTTATCAATGTTTGGCATTGGATAACAGTCCTTTGGACATGCATCATTGAGGTTAGTGTAATCAATGCACATCCGCCATTTACCGTTTGCTTTTTTCACCAGCACTGGATTGGCGACCCACTCACAGTAATTGACCCTTCTGACAAAGCCAGCTTGTAGGAGTTTCTCGACTTCTTCTTTAATAACTTTTAAACTCTCCCCCCCAAAGAGGCGCCGCTTCTGAGCTACTGGTTTCTTGAGTGGATTGGTGCTAAGTTTATGTTGAGAAACCGAAGTGGGAATTCCTAGCATATCTGCTGAGGTCCATGCAAAAACATCTTTGTTAGCTCGGAGAAAGGCTATTAGTTCTGTTCTTTCATCGGAGCTCAGCCGAGTTCCTATCTGTGTTTTCCTAGTTGGATCTCTGTCATCAATCTGTACCTCTTCCACATCTTCGACTGGAGCAGCTCTGGTTTCATCTTCTGGTCTGTTATCTACTATTTCAACACCCATAACTTGCCGATTGTCAGGAATCTGTTTGGGATTGGCTTCGGGCGTCTGATCTTTGCCCTTCTGAGGTTGTGTGACCGAGGTGATATAGCAATGTCGGGCCACCTCTTGGTTGCCTCGCAACGTTGCTATTCCCGTAGGAGTTGGGAATTTCATACATAGGTGAGACTGGGAAACCACAACTTGGATCTCAGTTAGTGTGGGTCGGCCAATGACGACGTTGAAAGAGAACGCCATCTTGACTACTAGAAACTTAACTGAAGGGGTCACATAACTTCGGCCACTTCCAAATGCAACATTCATAGTAAGGACTCCTTCAACTGGGACTGGTTGGTTGTTGAATCCGTAGATGGGACCATCATACCGCTGCAATAAAGTTAGATCCAACCCAAGACTCTCAAAACAATGGAAGTACATGATGTTTGGTGCACTCTCTGTGTCAACAAGAACATGTTGCACCTCACAATTGTTAATCGTGACAGAAGTGATTAGAGGGTCATTGTGAGGTGTGACGACTGTATCGAGGTCAGCAGATGTGAAAGTAATGGGTTGATCCTTCCACGCAGCATCGTCAAACTTTTACTTCTGAGCTCGGTTTGGATGCTTAACCTCTCTGACATACAACTTTCGCTGCTTAGAGCTCAGTCCACCGGCTTCCAAGCCTCCCGTGATCATGTGTATGATTCGATCTGGTGGTGGGAGCGGAGGTAGGGCTTGTTGAAATCCCACACCTTGCCGGTTTGGCGGGTTATGGACTCCTTGAGGCTGTGGCCCTTGTTCTCTAACAAACCGTGGCTGTTCAGCTCTCTAAATGTACTCATTCAACAGTCCCTTCTGGGCAAGACTTTCCAATTCGGACCTCAAGCTGTTGCATTGCTTTGTTGTATGACCGTGATCTTAATGAAAATCACAATATCTAGTATGATCTCGGCTAGCAGGAGCAGTTTTCATCGGACCAGGATGCCTTAGGTCCATCTTGTTCTTAATCTGCATAAAGATCTGTGACCTCGGTAAGTTAAAAGGAGTCCAAGTAACTGGAGGTTTACCTGCAGGTTGCTGTGGAGGTGCTGAGTTCAGCCTTCCGAATCTCGGGGTGGAAGTCGACATCGAACCTCGGTTCTGTGTTGTCTTCATCCGCTTCCTGTTTGGATTCTCATCTCTCCAGTCCGGGTTTTGGTTCTTAATAGGAGCTGGGTTCTGCGACAGGGCATACTCCTCAGCAGTGATAAATTTCAATGATCTATCATTTACCTCGCTGAAGGTGGTTGCAGGATGTTTAAGTAGGCTATCCCTAAATCTCTCATGGCTAAGACCTGAGATCACAGCTGTAATTCCCACAGCCTGGTCAAAGGAGTTAACTTCCAGTACTACATCATTGAATCTGCTCATGAAATTCTTCAAAGACTCTCCGTCTCTCTGCCTAACTCGCATTAGCTCGGAAGTAGTTTTCCTGATCAACCTTCAATTGGAAAACTTTGTGGCAAAAGCAGACGCCATTTCTGTATAGGAGCTGATTGACCTCGGAGGTAGACTATAGTACCAGGTTCGAGCATTACATCGGAGAGTAGAGGGAAAGATTTTGCACATCAATGCATCACAGGAGTTCTGGGCTTGCATGCAAGAGTAGAAAGCATGGAGATGATCATCGGGGTCCTTCGTCCCATCATAAGTTTCGAGTAGTGGTATCCTGAAGCTAGCGGGGTAGGGTTCCAATGTAATGTTGGTGTTCAAAGGATGAGGTATGGAGTCAGCAGCATGGTGTGGAGGTGGGGCACCTCGCTGTTCTGCTACTAGCTTTTCTAAGCTATATAAACGTCGAGTGATATCATCATGAAGGGGTTGCTGAACTGGTGCGATGTGAGATTGGCCCTAAGATTCACTAATAGCAGCAGCATGCTGAACTGGCTCAGGATTTTGTTGTGGAGCTGGGGGTTGTGAAACAGGATTAAGTAGGTTAATGAGTGGATCACCAGGATTGTTCCGGGCCAACAGCTGAGCCAGCACTTGCTGAAAGACACCACTCTGTTGTTGCATGGCAGTGAGCTGAGCCGCAACTACGTCTTGGTTGGCAATAAAGGCTGAGTTGTGAGCCGAATTGTGCAGTTGGTTTTCATCTCCTCCTTCTGCCTGGTCAACATGAGGGAATGTATGCGGAATTAGAGGTGGAAGATGAGGTGGAAGGTTGCTGGGGGCCTGACCTCGTCCGGGAGGCTGAGACGAGTTTCCAGCTCAGACCGACCTAGTATTAACCATGATAAGAGCAACAAGGGAACTTTCAGTTCGGATTCCCACAGACGGCGCCAAATGTTATTGCACCAAACCAGAAGTCCTTCTTCAGTCCGTATCTGCACGCCGGATTGACCTGCAAAGCCCCGAGGTGAGTCCTCGGGGTAGACACTCCGATGCTTAAGTCAGCAATAATCGGGGTTACCTTTAGAACGAAAAAGCAAGGAGCTTAGGGTTGGTTTCAATTACCTCTTTGGCGTGGCCCTTAGGGGGTATTTATAGGTTTCAATGGGGAACCCACGTGGCACGCCAAGCAGGATATTCGGGATCTGATGTGTATCTCCAGACGGTTATTTCGGGACCGAGAATTTGAGAAATATTCAGATGCAAGGATGTCTATCGTAACTGCTGTGCAGCTCATCACAAAGGATCAGGTGTGGGCATTCCTACCGTTGCTGTCATGCAGCTACTTGATCGGGAATCTTCGGATTTATCCTTCACTTCGGTCATAAAGGAATTACTGTCATACGTCTGAGGTTAGGCACCTCGGAACTGTCCTTACACATGGGCTTCGTTCATCTGGCTCTGTGGACCCCTCCCGGCCTCGTCGTGCAACCCATTGTAGGCTACTACAATGACCACGGCACCTCACGCTTCGGCCGCCACCGTCTTCCTTATCGGCTTTGCCAAAGAGATTGGCCATCGCGCGGGTGATTCGTTGGAAAAGTCCTTAAAGCCCAGAGCGGTGGCCATTTTCGTGGTGGGCTTTTTGGTTCTAGATGTCGCGCG